GCCTCATCAGAAATCTATAAGCAGCAAATTGCTTTTCAAGCATTTCAAAATTGGAATGTAAGGATGTGGAACAGCAATTATTAAAACAAGATGTTAATATCAGAAGAGCCAATTTATTTGCATAAAAAATGTAATTCAATCAAGAATTATCTGGAGTCTATTTAATGGGCACCACTCACTTGACTGTGCAGGGGACGGGGAGCTATGCCAAACGCGCTCTCTGTGCTAAGGTGGGTATGGAGGGCGCGTGGAAAGGACAGGCAGAGACACTGCTGGTGCCCTCCCAGGGTTTCTGAGGAGAACGAGCCATTTGGACAGCACACAAGGGCAACCAGCACCAGCTCAGAGCGAGCCCTGTCTTGTGTGTCCACACCAGGGAGGTGCAAGTCCACACTGCTCCTGCAATCTGCTTCCCAGAGCAGAATCAGTCTCCAGGGCAATGGGCTCCAGCTTTTGCTGGCAGAAGCAAACACTCAACCTGATGGAAATTCTAATCCATAATTATTTTCTAAAACTAGCCTGACTGCAATTTGGTTCGAAGTCTAGAGATGAACTTCACAGAGGCTTTAAAGAAAAGAAAGTCAACATATAGCTGGTAAAAGCAGCTGCAAGTGACAGCAGACTGTCACATCAAAAGGCTGGAGCAATACTCTTTCCTTTCAAGAGCTGTACTGGGGCATTTTCACTGTTGCTTTCTAAACACCTACAGCTTGTATGATCAGAAACACTCCTATGGTTAAGCTCTCTTCTCAGACATCTTTAATTCAAAATGCTGTTACAAAACAGCTTTTGCAGGCTCCCAAAGCAAGTACTTCTTGGAAACAGAACTCAGAAGCCAGAGTAACAAGCAAGGATCCAGGTTTTTGAGTCAAGATAAACAAAATCTTTCACTAATTTACCGTTGGCAAGCTGCGTCTGGCAGAAGGCAAAGAAAATTTCCCCCAGCACTCTGCTAGGGAAATGGAGGTACAGGCAATGATTTCAAGCATTTCACAGCAGTACTTTTTCATTTCCATTATGAAAGACATCTTAAACATTTTTTTCATTTAAACATTTAACTCTAGTGATTGTGGACATCTGTTCCTTCATTTTAGCCCATCATAGGTGGGCCTGTTTCCCCCACCACCTAGCAAGCTATGAGGCTGCAGGACTGCAGGTGACTCGGGCGAGATGCTGGACAAAGCCGTTTCACTTTGATAGACAGATTTTCAGAAATACAGACCCTCAAAAAAAAAAAATTTAAAAAAATCAGGCAGGCTTTTAAGTCAAGGCTTCATGAAGAAAACACCAGCGACACCCTAATGTCACCTTATTTCTCCCCTATAAACCCAGCCTAGCACAAGCCACCCTGCTGGCTACTACCGAGCACGCACAGCTCTTCCTAACAGTTCCTTCTACACCATCAAAGGGAAGCTCTAAATACCACATTAAGTCTTCAACTTCATATTAATTTCTACATTAATTGGCTGGGGACTCTCAAACAGGAAGGATAAAGTTACTTGTGAGGAAGAGCTGATTTCCAGTAACATAGCCACACTAAACAAATTTAACTGCTTGCTTTCGTAGAGACTTCTCGGCTGAAAAATTTTCTCCTTTTTCCTCAAATGATCAAACTTCAGACCTGGGAACATCTGAATCCGTAGGTGACGTCGGCAATGAATGACTTCTTGTCCATACCGACAAAACTTTCAAGTTTGAAGTATTGCATGTTCCTTACTCCTGCTGCTGGCTCAAAAAGGCGAGTTATGGCAAGGGACCGAATAACTGCTCTATTTGAGATACAGCTTTTATAATTAACTCCACAGATTGATTTCTGCAGAAATCATTCTTTAACCAGGAGTTCCCTACTCCCAGAATGGCTACTACTCAGCTAAGCTATTTAAGAGGTTACCTGGGGACTTACTCAAATGTATTAAATTTCAGTTTCATCTTTTCAAGCACAGCAATACCTTGAATTAAATTTCATACATCACATTTATGTGTGATATTGATACATTCACCTGAGCTTCAGAGTCTATTGTCATTACTGATTGACTTGACTCATTCTGAATCCAGCATCTTCCTGAAAATACCATCTAAGCAAAAAAAAACCCAAAATCAGTTGATAATGTTGGGTTAAACCTGTATTTTATGCCTAATTCACACATTTGTTCAGCATAGCCACCTAAAAGGATTCAAGAAGCATCTGCAAATCTCATCAGGAATAAACTGAAAAATAAACAGGTAACTGTCTAGAAAAGGAAACAAAACCCCACTATGCTGTTCTTTATATCTAGCAGCATTTAGAGATTACACAGACTAATCAAAGTTTGGGGACTGTTTAGTAACACAGTTGAGGAGGACAACATTGTGCTGCATTGCTTAGATTGGTTTAAGGCAAACTTCTGTACTGTTAGGAGAAAATGAAGATACCATTTGTAAAACGGTTTAGACAAATGCCCCGGTTACCTCTCAGGATTCACAACATGTTGAAATACTCTTAGAGCATTAAAGAATCAACCAGAGAACATGTAATGTAATATAAAAGCACTCTTTCAAGTGCTATGAACATCTATAGTGTCATTTACTAATCTCTTGGTGATGACCCTGAAATTAAAGCAAGACTGTGCAGTGGAGCATCTGAACTGCAGCCTTGGAAGTTCAGATGTGAGCTTTGTAAAGCCAAAATCCATCAGTTACAGCCCTTTTCCATTTATAGATAATCAAAGCTTCCAATGCGTGTTAAATGTATTATCCATAATCCCTGAAGTTAAAGGTTAACAACTGCACTTCAGTAGATGTGACTACAGGTTAGTGACTATCGACTGTATTTTGTTCATTATTTCATGTTGACTATCATGGTGTTTAAAAGTGGCAGCTGCTGGAAAAGCAAAGATAGAGGAGTTTGAAATACACACAATTTCAGCAATGGAGAGGGTAAAAACACCCCCACTGACTTGGACAAATACCAGAAACATTTAGATTCCAAGAAAACCTAATTTTAAGATTATTATTTTCAAAAGCATCATCATTTGTGTAGAACGACATGCATCAGACACTCATTCTTGGAGAAAACTGAAGTTACATCCAGCCTAGTTGGTTACTTTAGGAAAGAGCAAGCCCTTATACCAGATAAGACGTAATTTTAAAAGCTTTTTCTTCCACATGTTTTATTCCAACTGCAAAAATTGACCTTTGGTTTCCACAAGCCACACACACCACTTGCCCCAGATGGGGGAGGCGAAGAAGTGCAGAGCCAAGGCAGCTGATGCATCGGCCCTGGGGTCTGACCCAGCAGTGGGAACCACAGAAGCCCACTCCAGGATGACATTAGGCCTCCTAGATTGTTTTATTTTCAGGTGCCTATCTGCACCCAATTAATAGCACTGTTACTTAAAAGTAATAAAGAAGGTAAAATAGTCCTGCTCTTCACACTACTGTCATCTATTTCCTCAAAATTCCCCTCCTGCTGAGGTGGGCACAGATGTACGTATCTCTCTTCCTTTCAACTGGTTTTAAAGGATCAAGATGCACACACATATATATAGGTATGGGAAAACGTGAATAGATTCCAAATAATCCTGAGACAATACACCTTATTTTCATAAAAAGCCATCTGACCAATTTCTCGAGCACGTGCTTTCCATTAGCTCCTCACTACCAACAACAGCTATTTTGTATGTTTTAGATCTGGATTTTCTCTTGCTTTAAAAAAATGTAAATTACAAGACTTGACAGTGCACTGCAGTCTTCAGGGGTTCATCCAAGTACCTGGTTGTTGACATTTAAAACATCAAGGCTGTCAAAATGGAAGAAGATAGTCTAGTGCTTAAGTAAACTTAGTTTCCTCGTTTCCATTCAAAAGTTACTAATTAAAAGGTAGTCTCAGTCAGGTTCAAACTCCTCACGCAAAGCCAGCTTCCTCTGATCCTACTGTATTGAGAATATATTTTTTGGCACATTTATATTCTACTCAGGTAAAATGCAATATAAGATACCTATAATTCATCTTACAGCATGCACAGGAGCAGTGGTAGCACCTTCAGAAGACATCTTTTTGCAATAAGGGGGTGTTGGTTGACAGCTGACTGAACATGAGCCAGCAGTGTGCCCAGGTGGCCAAGAAGGCCAACAGCATCCCGGCCTGCCTCAGGAACAGTGTGACCAGCAGGAGTAGGGAAGTGATCCTTCCCCTGTACTTGGTGCTAGTGAGGCTCCACCTCAAATACAGGGCCCCTCACTACAGGAAGGACATTGAGAGGCTGAAGCATGTCCAGAGAAAGGTAACAAAGCTGGTGAAGGGTCCAGAGCACCAGTCTTATGAGGAGCAGCAGAGGGAACTGGGGTTGTTGAGCCTGCAGAAGAAGAGGCTGAGGGGAAACTATATCACCCTCTACAACTACCTGAAAGGAGGGTGTAGTGAGGTGGGGGTCGGTCTTTTCTCACAAGTGACAGGATGAGAGGAAATGACATCAAGTTGCACCAAGGAAGGTTTAGATTGGATATTAGGAATGTTTTCTTCTCCAGAAGGGTTACTAAGCATTGGAACAGGTTTGCCCAAGCAAGTGGTGGACTCACCATCCCTGGAGAGATTTAAAAGACAGGTAGATGTGGTGCTTCAGGGATATGGCTTAGTGGTTCATTTGGCAGCGTTATGTTAACAGTTGGCCTCAATGGTCTTAAAGGTCTTTTCCAACCTAAATGACTCTATGAATGTGCACAGTAAACCACTGAAGCTTCACTGGCTTACTGTCTTGTAGGTTACTGTAATACCCTGGCCAAATGAAATTAGAGCTATTATGTTAAAAAAGACCCATTTGTAACACTAATTACTTTGTAGTGTATTTAAATTTTCTCAATCTTGATGCCTATGCTGCATTTCATTTTCTACACTTATTAAGGAAAGGGTCAAGTTCTGCAGCAAGTCCATAGACTGACACTATGAGGCCAGAACATGTACTAAGTAGGACCAGTTGCCCAACTTTTTAGGGTATGTCTTATGTTCTTACACTTTTCATTACCTGTGGACACAGGGCTTCAAGCTGGCTGGCTGACATGCGAACCAGTTTTACACCTTCTTCATTGTTCGAGATGGAACAGGCCAAGTTGGCAACCTGAGGCAGAGATGGGAGAAAACAAAACACAACTGTTAGAATTGGATTTTATTTCTCTCTTAGGAAACTTTTTACGTGCCCCCAGCAGTGACTAGGATCCCATCATGAAATACAAAGCATCCACATTCATTCCGTTCTAACAAATTCTGAATCCACTAATGACATCTGTTCCTTCTCCAGCCACAAAATCCCAACACATCAGATCATAAGATCATAGTCAAACACGACAGACAACTGTTACCACTGATTCACTTAAGTTTTTTCCAGGAAAACATACAAGAGCATCACTGGCAGCACTCGAAGTTACAGTTAAAAAGCCCGCTCAAGTGAGACAGCAGCAAGCACACAACTTAAAAAAACCCCACAAACAGCCCAGCTCCCATGCATCTGAGGATTAAGTATCACGATGTCCATAAGTGCAGGGATGCTCCCTTTTTTTTTTGAAAAATTTCTACATCCTACTGTGTGTCAGTGCAAGTTTGGAGACTCATCAAGCAATTCAACTCCATGGGCAGTGCAGTGGCGTTGCAAAGCTCAAGCTGTTATGCCGGAGTTGCAAAGTCAGAGGAACAGGTATTTGGATGTGTTGGTTTAAACTACCTGATGTGCTTCTCATCCAGTCCAAGACTGCAGTATCAGGCAGGTGTTCCTCCAGCCCTCCATTTGTGTCACAATTCACTGAATATAAACATTTGCTGGTACAGGTGATCTTGAAGATCATTCCACAGTTCTCCAAAATTTGAATAGCGTGCTAAAAACTTTATTCCAAAAACCTTGACCTGCCGCACAGCAGCATCTTTAACTAGGTCATCTTGAAACAGAGGACCTTTTATAAACACCTGCCTTTTAAAAGCACACAGGAAGGGGACAGCACAGAATTTTTTGGTAATTGAATATATTCCTCGTATCGGAGCTACTCTCAGGGGAAGGAAGTCTGAAGTAAGTTACATTTCTTAGTTGACAGGTGAATGACAAGCATGTTATTCTGAGCCATTTGAACACGGAAAGCTGTAAAAATAGCACAAAGTGAACCAAGATGAACACCAAGTACTGTCCTTTTAGAGACACAGCAACCTGCAAAAACCCCCAGTAAATGTGCTGTAAAAGCATCATCACAAGCCAGCAGATGCTCGGTAACACCAGTGAATCCGATTTCTCCATATACATTTCTCTACAAGCTGAGAAAACTCCACTGTCCCTTGAATTAAACTATGCTGTTCATTTGTATACTAGTCACTTTACAGCATCTGCAGCTATACTGTGTGCTTTTCCCCCTCCCCAAGCCATTCCCTTATAACAGATGTTGCCTTGCAGAAGACACCACTGTCCCACAAACCATCACCCGTGTGCCGACACACATGAACAGTGGTTTTCATCAGTCCATCACTCTGGAGACCAACAAGGGACTTCCCATTGCAAAGCGCACAGCCTCTTCCCCTCTCCAGCCCCAAACTGAGTTAGAAAGACTGCAATACCATATGCTGTCAAGAACAGAGGGATGTTTCCAACACTGAACGAAAAAGTAAACAGATGCAACAGCACATATTTTGACAAAAACAAACTGAAGTTGAGAGAAAGGCTGTGCCGCATCAACAAGACATAGCAACCTCTGCCAGCTTTCAGCAATATTAGTGCCCTACTCCTCAGCTTTCTTTTCCAGTAGTCTTTGCAGACAAGACCTCCACATTAAGAGGTGGAGGTACAGTAAGTCTTCAGTTCATTGCAAAGTCGTGCAGCTTGCACTCAGTTTAGCCAAGGCTCTTTTCTCCCTCCTTTCTGTTGCCACATTTGCTACAGTCTCCAGCTCAGCTCGGCACTACCACCAAACAGCTGTGCTCTCGATAATGCCTTATCAGAAAGGGATTTCATTTTGAACTTTGTTTTCTTTCCTGCAGATTTGCCATGCCTTAAATCCCTAGTTCACAGCGAGCTGTAGTATATTATGCTTTTGTTTAGAGGTCCAAAAAATAAGACAATAAGATGCCACGATTTAAAAGTCAAATAAAGCTTTTGCTGTTGTTTTAAGCACAGGTCATATTTTTGAGAAACACCAGTTTGCCAATATTTTTTATGGTCCATATTTTCACATCGTTTCTGCCTCCGCAGCAGCAGTTACAATCTCTAGGAGCGAGAAGAACACAAAGCTCTATTGAGTAGGGGCTGAATAAAAGCGACATTGAAGCACTACAAAATCAGCCTCTCCAATATCTGGAGATGTTGTGCTGTCTCTCAAGCCAAGAGTGATGAATCAAGCGCAGAGAAACCCTGCTCTGTCTGAATACAGAGAGGCAAAGAAGTTTATAATTGAGTGTCCCCACCATGGTACGATGAAATTTTGCTTTTTTTGCAGAGTCATTTTTGAGCAGTCATTTTTCTCCTGAATACCTCACTGATGGCAATTCTTCTTTAGAAACTGCCTGACCGGGACTGCCAACCTCTATGAAAGAAGCGTGTGTGCTTTCCTGACTGAGGGTCTTTGGCAGTTTAAGACAATCCAACTGTTGGCTGCCACATCCCATCCTACTGCTGCGTCTCCAAAGCTCAACACTTCATTTCAGCACGCTTGTCCAAAAGAAAGCCATTCGCTTTGGCAGATTAGATTCCCTGCCAGATTAGCACACAAAATCCCCAGTAAACTATTTGCTGAACATCAGAGCGAAGCAGGGATGTGGCAGCAGCAGAGAAGACTTCAGAGTGCTGTGGGCATGGCCCTAAATTCAGAGCCATCACTGCACCCATGCGCAGACTCTTTCTAACTATTGGAAAACACTCACAAACCTCTTTGAATTCAGAATTTAAGAAGTGCTGTGCCAACTAATTAATCAAGTAGTAAATGACATTACAATGAGGTATTTTAAATTGTCCTTAGCTATCAGGTGCTCTGTAGCATGAACTCTAAAGTTGCATGTACCAGCAGAGGTGGATGGCTGTATGCTTAAAAAAATTAACTTTTAAAAGTATCTGAAAGCATCCATCAACAATAACTCCTGTGTGGTATTTGACAAGTAACTTCAAACTCCTGGCTGTAGAGAGCATGGGGTACTGCTGGTGGTACACAGGTTCGACAGTACACACAACACACAGGATTTTGAAGCAGAGAAAGATCAACTACAGCCAAATTTGTTTTAGGGCATGCTTGGAAATCTTATACATCCCTAAAACGTTCAGATAAAACGGAGCACCTCAAGGAAACGAAAGCTCCCCTTAAATCAAATGTAAATGAAATGGTTTCTCTGTGTCTCCAACAACGTAGCTGACTGACACAGTAAGTGGTCAGACTTGATTTAGAAAGAACACTTGTGCTTGAGAGCAAAATAGCAATTGAATTCCTGCTGCATTTGTTCATTCTTACCATTCAATATCATCAAGCTCCTTTACATAAGCATTACTGGCACAGGAATCAAAGGAGACAAAAAAAATTGCAAATAATGTAATCAGCCATAACGAGCAATCTCTTGAAAGAAGTTACAAATACACTGGGAACGAAGGCAGAGCAGAGAAGCTGGAGTGACGCGGTTCAGAGATACCTCTCGCAGCACCGCCAGACCTATTTTAAAGCTTTTTTTGGATGCAGTATCAAGGCGTTTATAGTTCACAGCATATACAGCCATGTCCCCGAGTCGTCGCTGCGTATCCCAAAAGGCAGGATGGACCCAAAGCAGCTGCTGCTGTTTAGATGAATGAGCTTAAATTTACCCCAGTGACAAATGCTCCGAGCGTTCGCGAGAAGTGCACAGACGCAGCCATTTCTACAAACCGAGCTGATGGACCGGTGCCAAGGAGAACTCAAAGCTGGACGAACTGAGCCGGAAAGTGGGTTTCAAGCACAGATCAGTTTATGGAACTCAAATCAGATTTGTATTAACGACGACACCAGAGTACTGCTAGATGAGAAGACGCCTTTGGAACAGGTTTGACTTACCTGGGTCCTTCTAGAGGAAGGCACCACCTCAGTGCAAAGGGGCAGTCGGGACTACGTTATTAACAGGAATAGCTAATTCCAATATCAAAAAAATTATTGTGCCATCTGTCACAGAGCGAGTCCATCTCAAATTCTAGTTACTTTGTATAGAATTTACTAATTTTAAATCAGGAAAAATCTTGATCTTTCTAAAGCCGTTTTTCCTCCACTAGTGCAAATTTGTCAGCCTCTGTATGTGTTGTCAGCCGTTGTAGGCAACTGCCTTCTCTGACAACAGGCACTTCTAACCTTTGCCACCTGAAACACACTTTGGATATTTATATTTTTGTAACTTGAAATTTGTTCAGATAATGACTAAGAGCCATGTCTTCCAGCAATTCAGAGACTACAGCAGCCTGAACTACACAAACTTGGGGTCATCACTAAGCTTCTTAAATTAGATTGCTGAAAAGAAATGAGAAATATTGCTACAGCTTTGTACTTGTTAAACTTTCTCTTTGCACTGTCATTCTAGCTTAGGTAGAGGAGCTAATTTACACGGAACTATTTATTAAAGGATTGACAAACTGCTTTTTCAGTAAGAGACACAAAAATGCAAGAGGAAAAAGGAACTGTAATCTCTAACATTACCTCTTCCTTTTCAAGGATTTCAAAGGCTGACACAAAGTTGGTATTGAAGCCTTTGTTTTGTGTGCCTGGATTGACTTCAGAGAAGTAACACCAGGTTTTTCCTCCTTGTTTACAGGCCATGTGTTTAGGACAGCTTCTTCAGAAAGTCAACTACACAAAGCTCTCCTAAATGGGTGCTGGACACAACCATCCAGCAGCGGTGTAAGCCAAAGAAGGCTGTGTCATGTGTTTCTGTTGCATAATTTAAAACTGTCAGACTTGCCTCTGCCACACAGCGTTGTTATCAGTAAGGATTATACATCGCTACACGAGACACAAACATAAACTAATTGAATTCTAAGAGCCTGACCACTCTCATTTGAAACTGCAGTTGTAACAGCAGCATTGCAAAAGTAAAGTTTTCAGATGGTCTTACAATTGAAAACCTTAACTTTTCAATTTAACAGTA